GCTGCTGCGAGGTAAGTGGTGTTCTACACATCGCCTAAAAAATGCTGTGTGCTAGCGACATTTATAGATATCTGACTATAACTTAATTATTAGAAGTATATTTAGTAGAGTGGCCACTGTCTGAATTATAATTTAAATCATCATTTAAATCATTCTCAAATCACTGTTTAATTACCATTCAATTAGCACATAGTCATTGTTTGATTACCGTTTCATTTTCATTCAGTAATTGATTAATTATCATTTTGTCATCATTAATAAAACCCTTTTAGTCAACCCCACAGTGATTTCTCCTGTGACTGGAGGCTGGCCCTGTTGGCTGCATGCTGGGGGTGCAGCACCTTTGGGCTCCTGTGGAACGGCAAGATCTTGCCTGCTCTCCACAGCAGAAAGTCCTTCCACTTTCCTTTTGTGTTCTGGGTGGAGCATGGCTCCTGTGGCTGGGTCCCAGTAGTCTGGTGGGGAAACTGGTGTGGTGGGGCCACTAGTGCTGGTACAATAGCCTTGTTGGAGAAGTGCTCGTGGGCTGGTTGTTGCTGCAGCTGTTGCTATTGTACGTGGAGACTTTGTCCATTGGAGCTGAGGGACATCTGTAAGGAGTGCTGGTGTCTGCTCCAGTGCCCATGCTCACTTTAGGTATCCTGCTCAGATGTCGTGCCCAGAGGAACTGTCTGCTGTGGTAGATGAGGACCTGCTTGACTTCCTCCTGAGGGATGATGCTCCCTGCCCTGAAATTCCAGGGGAGGAGAATGGTCTGCTGGGAGACTGCAGCCTAGCAGAGCCTGAGGTGAGTTCTTTGGGACTGATCACTGCTGGGTTGTGGTTCGGAAGGTTTGGCTCCCTGCTGAGGAAAAGCTCTTTCTCCACAGATCCTAGGCAAGGAGATGGATGACTTCATCAGCTCCCTAGTGAGCGCCTTTGAAGACCAACCAGACACACTGCAAGGTTATTCGCCTGCTGACAGTGACAGTGGCATTTTTGAGGATCAGCATCTGTCCCATAGCCCTGGCAGTGACTTTGCCAGCAGCCTTTGGAGCTCAGGCATTGTGCAGGTTGATCACAACTATTCCCTCCATCAAGACTGGCCTGTGCGGGAAAGTGTGAAATCTGAAGTGTCAGAAGGAGATGTTTCCATTGACCTTGGTAAGTGATGTGTGCAGGCTCTTTCTGTCCTGGCTACAGGGAGAAAAGTGGTCCTGTGTTGGGGTTTTTTGGGTGGATGCCAAGGAGCGAGGGAGAGACAAATTTAGTGGCTTTCCACTACTGTAATTGGGGTTTCAGGTTATTCAAAACTGCCTCACTGAGGCCCAGCACTTGTGACTCCTCTTTTCTTCCCCAGGGACATGGATGGGTTTGGAAGGCCCAAGCAAGGAACAGAGCTCCAGTTTCTCCACTGCTGTTGCTGTGGATGCTGGTCCCCAGCTGGTGCCTGGAGTCATCATGCAGGTACTGACTGCCATGCGTGTGGGCCCCAGCCTTTGCTTCTGCTCACATCTCCCCTTCTCTCCTGGCTTTGCTCTGTGAGAGATATCACTGAGAGTAGATTTAGGTGAGATATTAGGAAGAAATTATTCACTGTGAGACACGGGAACAGGTTGCCCAGGGAAGCTGTGGCTGCTCCTCCCTGGAAGTGTTCAAGGCCAGGTTGGATGAGGCTTTGAGCAACCTGGTCTAGTGGAAGGTGTCCCTGCTGCTGGCAGGGGGGTTGGAACTGGATGATCTTTAAGGTCCCTTTCAACCCTAACCATTCTATGATCTCTGAGGAAAGCATGATGCTGCTTTGGGGGAGCTGATCCTCGTTCTGTGTGCTTTCTGCATGCCCTCTCTGTCCTGAGTGGACTCCCTTTACTTTGCATTCTGAGCAAGTGTATTTTTGCTGTTTTCTAGTCCAAATTCCCAGAGCTGGTCCTGACAGAGGAGGAGAGGAAGCTCCTGGAGAAAGAAGGTGTTACGTTACCAACCTGTTTGCCACTGACCAAAGTGAGTCCCCGTGACACCCTGTCACTCCCAAATGAACTTGGACCACTTGAATGCTTCAGCCAGAATAGGGGTTCAAAAATACCAGGTGGTGCCTTGATGAGAGTGTAGGTGCCCAGGTGCTGTGTTCAGGGCATGGTGTGGCAGGGCTTGGGGTCCTTTTCCTCCTTTTGGGACTTGGGGGGTGTCCACCTGCATAGCAGCCTCTGCTTTGCTAATCAGGTGGATGTGAAAAGTGGTGAGACCTGGCTGCTGTCAGGCTCCCGGCTTGTGGCTGCTTACAGGAGGCAGTTCCACCACAAGTGCTTCCAACCTATTTTTCCCGCTTGGTTAGTGGCATGTGCACTGTGTGCTTGTCATCTCCCTTAGGTACCTCTCCCTTTTGCTACACCGAGGAAGCTGCTGGCTGCATCAGCAGGCCAGAGTTGGCCTTGCAGCTCCTGCAGCTCATTCAGCGGTGTGGGAGGGACAGAGGACAAAAGCATGTGGGCTGAGCGCTGGGATGTGTGTGTGCAGGATTTGTGAAGGCTGGATTGCCAATGCCCTGGGGTCACTGCTCATGAGAAATGACCCTTGCAGGCTGAAGAGCGGGTACTGAAGAAAGTGCGTCGGAAGATCCGGAACAAGCATTCAGCCCAGGATAGTCGTCAGAGGAGGAAGATCTATGTGGATGACCTGGAAAACAGGTAGAGACACACAGAAGTGTCACCCGACACCGAGGGTTCAAACAGGTTCTTTCAGGGGTCCTTGGCAGAATGATGATGGCACTGAATTGTATTTTCAATTAAAGCTTAATGTTCTTAACATACCGTGATTAGCATAGCACAGAATTTATGATTAGAATGGCACAGGATTTCTACAGAAATCAATGTTCTACAACCTGTAAGCAGCATAACACAGAATTTGTAATACAATTATCTAATAATTTCTAATTGCCTAGGTCCTAACACAAATTAAGGTTCCTAATCACCTACATCCTAATACAATTCAACTTTTGATTTCTAATCATCTGGATCCTCTGCAGTTTGGGTTGGATCATAGAATCACAGAATGGTTTGGGTGGGAAGGGACCTTAAAGCTCATCCAGTTCCAACCCCCCTGCCATCAGCAGGGACACCTTCCACTAGACCAGGTTGCTCAAAGCCTCATCCAGCCTGGCCTTGAACACTTCCAGGGAGGAGCAGCCACAGCTTCTCTGGGCAACCTGTTCCAGTGTCTGACCACCCTCAATCTTAGTACCTTGTTTGCTGTATCAATGTAACGATCATAGTCTAGACTCAAAAATTATATAAAGGAACACGAGTCACTCCCTCAGTCATGGGAGGAAGCAGATGATGGTGGAGGTGTCCCTGTCTGGGGAGGGTACTGGATGTCACTGTCCAGCAACAGCTCTGGTCCAGGTTCCCCCTTAGGACTTGTAACTGCTTGATTTTATGGACAGTGCTCTGTGTGCTGTTACGCTTCCCTGCTCTGTGACAGGACTCTGTCCCCACCACTGAGCTGGCTGGGTGCCTGGGACCCTCAAGGCTGGTAAGGCAGTAACCAGCCTTGCACCCAGGAACCTTGAGGCTGGTAGGGAGGGGAAGAAGAAATCTGTTTGGTTTGTCTCCTTGGTGCACAAGACCTTCAGGGCCTGATAACGAGGGGATGGGAATGAATTCATCACCTGCTGCGTCACAGAGAATGGCTGCTCCCCTCACAAAATGGTGTTAGTTGTCCTAAACACATTGCCAGGGGGTCGGGAGCACAGGGTACTGGTCACAAGGAGCTGTGCTGTGCTGGTGATGGGGTCTTTCCACCTTGGGCAGAAAGTGAGGCTGGCTCTGTGGGCCAGCAGCTCTCCTCAGGGGGCTCAGAAGCTTGGGCCATAGCCTGCCCTGCTCTCTAAGCTTGGAGATGGCCCAGAACTTGCTCTGTTCAAGCCAGGTGCCAGCCTGCCAGGTCCAGCGTGTTCTCCAGGTCAGCCTATTTTGCAATACAGCCTGACATTGTAGATCTGCAGGGCTGGTGTGCTGCTAGGAGCCAGCATCTCTTAGGGATTAGTCTGGTGCTTCTCTGTGGGACTGGGCAGGGCTTACCTCTCCCCAAACCTGGTGTGAGATGTTGTTCTCTGGGCTTTGCTCCAGGTGGTGACAGGTAGACCCCAGGAGCAATTTTATCTGCCCCAGCCACCCAGAGGTGGTGGGTCATTACCTGAGGAGAGACTCTGGTGAAGTCCCTGCTGTTGACTAACAAAACCTCTCTGTTTTTCCCGTGCTGTTCATCTTCCCTGGGAAGAGTGGCATTCTGTACAGCTCAGAACCATGAGCTGGAGAAGAAGGTGCAGCTGCTGCAGAAGCAGAACATGTGAGTTCTTGTTATTGGATGTGTCAGGAGATGTGGTGGGGAAGGCTGTTCCTCTTCTCGGGATTGTGGTCTGTCCTTATCTACAAAGCAGGGAGGAGGGGAGCATGGAGCTCTTGGTTCAGCCACTGTGTTAACCTGTGTTGCCTGCTCTCCTGCAGGTCACTGCTCGAGCAGCTGCAGAAACTGCAGGCCATGGTGAGACAGTCCACCACCAAAACTACCACAGCAAAAACCTACACCATGGTGAGTGGCTTCAGCCCCAGTGTCTGTGAAGATGTCTGTGCTGTCGTTGTAAGTCTGGGAGAGAGGCATTTATTGTGGCTGATGATGCCTATCCACGTCCTTTGCTGAGGTCTGTGCTGATCTTTCTGTTTCCAGGTTGTGGTTCTGTCCTTCTGCCTCATTGTGTCCCCCAGCATCTGCTTGTTTGGTAGCAGAGAGCCACAGCCGGAGCTCAGAGGTGAGTGCCTGGGGGCTGAGGCATGGCTCCAGGTGAAGCACTGCCCCCCAGGGCAGAGCAGCTTCCTCAGGGACAGCCTGAGCTCTGGGGTGCCTCCAGCCCAGCAGCCCCTTGCTGGGGCCAACCACTGGGTTTGGCTTTGCTGCCTTGCCCCAGCTCTGGACGCTTCCTCAGCCCTTTTACAGAGGCTGGCCTGGAGGCTGGGCCCTTGGCCAGGGGTGATACAAGAACTGGAGAGGTCCAGTCCTTCTTGAAGCACAAGCTGTGTTTGTGCCTGGCAGCTGTGCTGTGGCCTGTCCCCACCTCCCCTGGGAGGAGGTTGCCCTAGCTGAACAGTTTGTTCTCCTCTCGTGGCCTCTGTTGTGGCCTGTGCTCAAGGAGGGTGCTGAGAATGACAGGGCTGGATCTACCTCTCTTGCAGTGCTGTCACGGCAGATTCGCGAATTCCCAAACCAGGTAGCATCTGATGTGCTGGAGAACGCAGTGCTGGAGGGGTTTAGCCCAAAGCCTGAGGACCCCTCACCGTCGAGCGGCCTCAGTCAGTCGTGGGAACAGGGGCAGAGTCCATCCAACCCCGGTCCCAGATCTTCTTTCAACAGCAACTCATCCTTTGACCCTCTGGTGGCAGTGGGCTCCGAGCTGGGCCCTTCGAGCGACCCTTTGCAGGCAGAGGTGACAGCAGCATGGGAAGCCAAGAGGCAAGAGTGGGTGGAACACACTACCACAGTTGTCATCCAGCAGCACCATGCTGATGAGATGTGACCACAGCCGCCTCCAGCTTTTCCGGGTGATGCCGGGCACCCTGTCCCTTGGGCAGGGACTGCGTTAACAGATAATCTATCAAAGCAGATTTTTTTGAATACTCTCCCCATTGCTGGCAGCTCAGAGGGTTTGCCAGGGAGAGAAATCACTTTAGGGTTGACCTGTTCTGATACTCCATATATCTATAGCAGTACTCTATCGGAGATGGGGTGGGAAACTCTGGGAACTTTGCTATGGCTGCTGACATGACATGCAGCACGGCGTACCTCCCATGTCTCTAGGGGATAAGCTTTGGCATGGAGGGTGAAGGCTGTTAGGCTTGAGGTGCCCACACTTGGTCTGGCTGCATGCAGTTGGTGATGGAGGCCACTGACCTGCTTCTTCCCTGCCCAGGCAGAGGTGAACAGGCTGCGTCCTGCACTTCTTACTGTGTCTGGGAGCTGCAAGCATCTGTCTCTTATCCCTTCCCCTCAATCCTGCTGTGTTGCCTGATTTCTAGGTGTGAGTTAAATAGCAAGCTGACCTTCAGTGCTCTCACAGAGAGTGGTCCTGCTATTGGGACAGACCCTGCATGTCGCCTGTTCCTGCTAGCTTTTGAGCCACAGGCACAGCTCCTGGCTTGGCTAGAGAAGGTAATGTGGAGTCCTTCCCGAGCCGTGTGTGCTGTTTCCCTTGGGTAGGGGCTGAGCCTTTCGTCTCCCACAGCCCTGGGAGCTGGGCTTCTGGGCCTCAGGGATAAGGCACGCCTCAAACCAGACTGCTGAGCGGCCACAAAGCAGAGAGCAGCAGAGCTGCTTGCTCTTCTGAAGGCTTTCCTGATGCTTTCAGAGTTGTGTCCGTGTGTGGCAGAGATTTGCTGCGCCGGCCAATGATGCAGTCAGCTGGCTCTGGTTGCTCCCCAGGGCTGAGCAGAAATACTTTGAGATTGTGAGCAGTGTCTTTCCTGGAATACAGCTTAGTAGTACCTGTTGAGCATCTCTCCTACTTCGGGACACTTCATAGAATCACGTAGAATAGTTTGGGTTGGATGGGACCTTTAAAACTCATCTAGTCCAACCCCCTTGCAATGAGCAGGGATGTCTTCAACTAGATCAGGATAATAATTAATAATTTCCTTATTAATAATGTTTAAATAAATACTAATGGTGTGTGACTATGTCCTCTGTGGTCATTTTGATGAGGGTCTGGGGGTGTTGTGGGAGAAACCCAAGGGAGACTGGGGGGTGATCACCTTTGCAGCCTAACAGAGGCCAAAGGGTGCTGCTTTCCTTTCCAAGGGCTGCAGCTGTGCAGAGGGGCTTCCGGAGGCACAGTGTGAGTTTGCTGGGCAGTGGCTCTGCTCTCACCCTCTCCAAGGGTGTGAAAAGACTCTTGAACCACTTCTGGAGACAAGTGGATGTTGTGAGTGAGCACCCGGCGCCCATGTGTGACCTGCGTGTACCCAAGGCACTGCAGAAACGAGCAGCTTCGCCCCCCCCGCCCCCGCCCCGTAGGAAGTGAGAGGAGCTGGTGTCTGGCCCCACCGCTGCTGCTTTCGTAACGGGGAGCTGCACAATCGCAGGAAGCTGAGCAGAGCCCGGGTGGTGCAACAGCCCTGTCCCCTCAGCTGGGGGCTGCTGGGAGGGCCCTGCCTGCCTGGGGGTTGCTAAATCAGGGTTGGGCCCTGGGTTTGGTTGGAGTCACTGAGTCCACCACGCTGTTAGCAGACCCTGAGGTCAGGCTGTGGAGCCCAGCAAGGCAATGGGTGCAGGCAACACCATGCTTGCAACCCACCTGGGAGGCAAAGGTTGCTTGTGTGGGTGAACGAGGTATAAAACTGAATGTTGTGTCTACACAAGGAGCAGAGACACTTCGTGTCCCACCCATGGTGTCCACATGCTCCTCATAGGTCTTAGCTCTGCCCTGACCAGGG